TTGCTGCTGCGATGGGGGCGGGACGGAGGATCGTGATGCTGGCTCAGCATCGTAATGTTTTACAGCTATCAGCAACGGACGATGGCATGCATCATCTATCGACCCAACCCTCCCTAACACAAATCAGTTCTTTTTTAGCTGTCTATTAGTTGATTTGGTCTCTTCAGCTTTTTAAAACCGAAGGAAGCTGATTTCTCACTCTTGCTCATTCCTCCAAGCCACCACAGTTTCTGACAGCTTTATTGTTGTGTTCTACTTTATACATTTTTTGTTACTTCAGTTTGAGGACTTTTTGTGACTTTTGAGTGGGGAGTCCCAGCCTGCTTTAGACTTGTTTGGTCATTTATTTCCTATGTTTTTGGGCTCCCAATCTCTTGTCTTTTGCGTTGTTTTGCTGGTTAATTAAAGTTTAAAAAATAATTCAGTTGGAGCAATTTGGCCATTGTTTATGTATGTTACATTGTCATTGGATCATGAGTTTTGTTTAACCGTAACACAGTATGACAGAAGAGTTTTTGAATGAATAAATTAAATTTAAGGTTGCACAGTTGCATAAAAAGTTCAACATAAAACAAGAGTTCAACATTAAAAAAATAAATAAATTCTTAAACTGATTTGGAACCACTTGAGGGTTAGTAAAATACTGCAGAAGTTTATATTTTGAGTGGATTTGCCTTTAGGTGTTAATAAAATAAAATAAAATAAAATAAAATACAAATGTGATGTTTTTACTTCTTATTTTGTTGCAATGGCCCATGAATAATATTTAAACCAAGTAATTCCATTCTAATCTAAGTTTGCTAAGCAATATGCAAGACTAGGATCTCTCCTGAAACACCATGCACTGAAAAAAGCATGCCAAATGTGGCCAGATGGTAGCCACACATGCTTTTTGGCCTAATACTGTCCATATCCCCTTGCACTACAGGAAAACTATTGCTTTGTGCTGAATTGAAACATAATAATCTGACATTTCAATATGCACCGGTAACCAAAAACATAATTAATAAGCCAAATTAATCAATTACCATATATGAGATGGGGGATATACTTTGCAAATGACGAAGAGATTCCTCTAGGGCCTAATTATAAACCAACAGGTTTACATCATACTTAAAAGTATGCTATTTACTATCGTCAGCACCTTACGTATTTCCTAGTACTTGGGGAAAGCATGTGATTTGGGATCCAGCGTTTGTCCCTACAGCTTTATCCTCAGAAACCTCCCAAATGAGATGCAATTTCAAAACAATTCCTTATTGCTCACTCACACAAACACACACACACACACACACACACACACACACACACACAAGTCAGAACTTCGAGTGTGTTCCCTACCTTGTGCTCGCTCCACAAACACCACCTTGGAATCGGGCTGGAAGTTGTGCCCGCTGAGAAGCATCTGTTCCCCCCCTGAGGCGGCACAGCTTTCCATGCTCTGTTTATCCACGAGGGGCAACTCCTGTGCTGAGCGCTGGGCTGCAAGAAGGACACAGAAGGAAAGTGAGGAAAGACGTACAAAACCTGTCAAATCTATGCATATTTATTGTTGTATTGTTTACTACATGGCTTTAAAGGGAATGTAAATGTCAGTGCTCATTAAAGTTGCATTAATTTTGATCACAATACAGCAACAACTGTAATGATTGAAACAATCTGCAGGTTGTAATTTATTACTACATGACTGTAAGGTAAATTCAATTCAATTCAACTTTATTTGTATAGTGCTTTTAAACTATGATTACTGTTTCAAAGCAGCTTCACTAAAGCATTTCAATCAAATTCTGAAAATTTGAGGTTATTATTTACCATAGCTTGTTTGTTACTAATAACTTTAACTAATTAGCTGGCATAGCTTTATTAGTTACTAATAACTTTAACTAATTAGCTAGTAACTAATAGCTTTTAACAGCTAAAGTTATTACACATAAACATAACCTGCAGTTATACAGTTGTAGAAGTCTATGCGTACATGTTCAATGAAGTGTATGTGTTTTCCTTAAAATTTAAATGCAAGTAAGGGCTGTGCGATTTGGGGAAAATATCTAAATACGATTGTTTTAAAACAGATATTTCAATTTCAATTGAATTTGCGATTTAATTTTGTAGTCAAGCTTCAGCTCAATATGGTAGCTTCTTACTGCTAAAATGCAGTAAGTGTTAGTTCAAAAAGTAACTGAAAATATATTAACTAACTCCAACTTCTATTCAAATTTGTTTATAAATATTCAGAAATTAAACACTAATTTTACTCTAGAGCAAACAGAGATATATGTAGTTAGTTATCTCCTGGTGCCTTCGTGATGCTTTTTCATATGGTGTAACAGCTGCAAACAACTCTGAAATTGTACATTGCTGTTGCTATGGCTACTAGATTGAGTGTCACTGGCAGTACTTTTAGTTGACTTTTTAGCAAGACACTCCTCATATAGCCGCCTGTGGTGCTTTATTAGGTGCAGATTGTTGTATTTCCTCATGCTGTGGCAACAATTCTGCGACAGCTCTTACAAATTACCTGTTTTTGTTCGGTGGTTGTGACTTTGAAACCAAAATATTCCCATATTACCAACATACTGTTTTTCTTTGATATGAATTTGTCTATTAAAGCTTCTAAAGTGGCAGACGCCATCCCCCCACTTGTCCATGCTTTCCATGTTTGTTTGTTTTATTTTGGGCATAGTTTGGTTGTGCAGTTCTGATTGAAAGTGTGCTCACTCAATTGGCTAATAAGACTGTCACACACAGACAGCAGTCAAGCATTTGCTCTGGGTGGGGGAAAATTATATAGTACATATATATGTCATAGCAGCATCTTGCAATTAGCTAATTACAATGTTTCAAATCGTGATTGTGATTCGATTTTGATTAATAGCACAGCCCTGAAGTAAGTGCTAATCATAGATTAATTTGATCAAAAATCCAGCAAAAACTGTACTGATTTGAAAAAGTGTTACTATTAAAAATACCAGTTTTCTGTTTAATGTATTTTTAAAAATGCTATTTATTCCTGTAATGAAAAAAGCACATTATTTTTCAGAAGCCAGAAATAGTTTTTTTGCCACTTAAAAAGATATTTCATCCAAAAATGAAAATTCTGTCATCATTTACTCACTTATTTCCTTCTTTAAAAATTTTTTTTTACCTGTAACGACTGACTTCCATAGTGTTTGTTTTTCATACTATGGATATCAATGCTAACAGGTTTTCAGCTTTCTACAAAATCTATTATTGTGTGTTCAATAGAAGAAAGAAACTCATAAAGGTTTGGAAGCACCTGAAGGTGAGTAAACAGTAAATATATTTTTTGTTTTTGGGTGAACTATATATATATATATATATATACATATACATATATATATATATATATATATATATATATATATATATATATATATATATATATATATATATATATATATATATATATATATTTCAATAACGGTAAGCAATAACAAAACAATTAAAAGAACATTTCTCTGATACAGAAAGCTTTTCTTTATGGAAATCAATTAATAATTGTATTCAGCAGTGATGCATAGATTCAGAACAGTTTAATAGATTTAGTTTGATTAACAAGAAATTAAAAAGAACAACATGTATCTAAAACATAACGCTTTTCTAAGACGTTAATAATACTTTTATTCCGCAAAATTGCATTAAATGATCAGTACGGGAATTTGTAAAAGGTTATACTTCATATAAATGGTGTTCTTTTAAAATTTTCATTTGGCAAGGAAATCCTAAAAGTTTTCCACACTCAGTATACAATAAATATTTCTTGAGCAGTAGATCGGCATATTAATATGATTTCTGAAGGATCATGTGACATTGAAGACTGGAATACTCATAATGTAAATACACCTTTGCTCACATGAATAAAATATGTCCAAATAGAAAACTCCAAACTGTAAAAGTATTTCACAATATCACTGTTTTGCTGTATTATAAATTGCAGCCATGGTGATCAGGTGAATCTTTTTATTTTAAACAATGGCATTGTTACCGTTCTGAAACTTTGTAACAGTAGGTCATGTTCTGTATATATGCCATTGTTACAAAAACACTGCAAACTTTCCACACTACTAGTTCAGCCAGCATTCTACAACATCAAGAATGAACTGTCTATAATACAAAAATCTCTCATATTCTCATATTCATTTATCTTAACCATTAATTGGATCTGGCAATAGGGGCAGCACAGTGACACAGTGGGTAGCGCTCTAGCCTCACAGCAAGAAGGTCGCTGGTTCGAGCCTCGGCTGGGTCAGTTAGCATTTCTGTGTGGAGTTTACATGTTCTCCCGGTGTTCATATGGGTTTCCTCCAGATACTCTGGTTTCCCCCACAATTCAAAAAAGTCCTATGGGTGAATTAAGTAAGGGCGTAGTATACATGTGTGAATGAAAGCGTATGGATGTTTCTCAGTGTTAGGTTGCAGCTGGAAGGGCGTCTGCTGTGTAAAACATAGCATAGATTAATAAAGGGAATAAGCCTAAAAGAAAAAGAATGAATGAATGAATGGGTGTTACCAGTGGTTACCAGCTGATAGATATGGGCCAGTATGGGCCAGTATGCCTACAAAATACAATTAATGGTAAATTTAATAAATAACTTAAATAATTCTTGTTAACTTTTTATGGCTTTTACAGTTTCTAAGCCTACCAGTAGGCGCAGAAGGCCCCTACTGGCCCATATCTATTAGCTGATAACCACTGCAATGCTCATTAAATCGAGTGATAACATTCGAATCGGCTGGACCAAGAAAGATTAAAAATGTTTTAGGATGCACAAATGAACACTGTAGTCTCCAAGCACTTCTTTTAACATTTTTCTTTTGTTTCTTGAGTGGCCCAGCCAGAGCCCAGACCAAAATCCTATTGAACATCTCTAGAGAGATCTGAAAATGGCTGAACACCGTCGCTTCCCATCCAACCTGATAGAGCTTGAGAGGTACAGCAAAGAGGAATGGGCAAAAATTCCCAAAGGCAGTTGTGCCAAGCCTGCGGCATCATATTCAAAAAGACTTGAGGCTATAATTGCTGCCAAAGGTGCATCAACAGAGTACTGAGCAGAGGCTGTGAATACTTATGTGCATGTGATTTTTTTTATTTTAAAAAACAATTTGTAACAATTTGTAACAATTTAAAAAAATCTTTGTTTACAAAGTCATTAAGGGGTTTTGTGTGTAGAATTTTGAGGAAATAAATTAATTTAATCCATTTTGGAATAAAGTTGAAACATTAAAAATGTGGAAAAAGTGAAGCGCTATGAATACTTTCCAGATGTACTGTAAATGCTTATGTTGTTTTGTGCATGTACTTGAGTTTTTAAAGGTACAGTTCTGACTTATTTATATTAAAAAACAAAATTGTATTACAAGTAATAAATAAATCAAAATATATTTATACATTTTAATACAAGAATTCTGTTTCTGTGAAGTAAAATATAAAATTGTATATGGAAAGCATTGTAAATGCACCATGATGCACTGGGATATCGAACCGAATCGATGGCATAATAATCGGAACCGAACCGAAACGTAAAACCAGTGGAGGTTCACACCTCTACAGTTTGGTGTATTTACCTTCGATCCACCACCTATAATCAAGTTTGGTTTTTTGCCATTCATAAAAAAGTTTGGCCACCCCTGCTCTAGGATTTCAGAGACTTGTTTTACATCTTGTAAAATGGGCCACCTTTAAATGAAAGTATACCTTCAATGCAAAGTTAGTCACACTGGATAAAAAATATAAAAATAAAACACTAACATCAAATGAAAAACAGGATTTAGTGAAATTTAGTGGGATGACTCACAGCACTCAATGGGGTTAGATGCCACCTGTAAGGACACCGTCCTGCCATTCGGTTGGTTGATGTGGACACGAAACACCATCCTCACACGTGTGTTCTTCCGTCCGATGTCGGTCTCGCCCTTGCGGAGCTCGATGTCTGAGTTACGCAGCTTGAGGATTCCAGCGCAGTCGATTCTGGGCCACAGAAAGAACGTTAATGTTTTGAGGAACAGACTCAACAGAAGAACAAAAATGTGCGCTAAATATCGTTAGACGGTTGTTTAATAAACATTTTCTCAGAACAGAGTAAACGTTTAATTTATTGCGCAGCGCTTCTGCCAAACATACGCCTGGCCTTTTCCCTGTGCCGCATAAATAAATGCCCTTTCTCTCTCAGCCCTTCCAAATTCTGCTCTTGACATGGCAGAGATGTTGTTAAAAACCCATGAAAAGTTTACTTTCTCCATTAAACGTACAAATCCACCAACTAGACCAGAAAGCCAACGAGAGTAAATACTTGTTTAAAGCCCGTCAAAAGTGTTGCATCTCACTGAAAAAACCCAGAAACATTTAAAGCTCTTTAAGATGCACTTGAGTGAAATTACCCATAAAACTCACTTTCTGGCAAAAACAGAAGTCTGAAAAACTGGAGAAACAATCATGAGTGATCCGTCAACAAGGTACACGAGGAACACGAGGAGGAGCACATCATGTTCTAGGTGTCATCAGGTTTTTTTTTTGCTGTTGTTGAATTACCACACATTCATCAAACTCACATCAAGCTTCCAGCAACCAATTTTCAACACTATGCTTCCAAACCAGAAAAAAATAGCACCATATACATGATTTTGTGAAATCAAATACTAAAGGGTTTAAAAATGATTTAAACTGCACTGAAACAGGGGCATAACCCTTTTTTGGCTTGGCTACAGGAACGTGACAAAGCGGGATCGCTCCCCAGAAAGCTCTGAAATAGGATACGAAGGGATTTTTTTTTGTTTAAGTTAAGTGTTACATCCATTATAGAGCGGGGAGAAAATGCTGAGCTGGTAAGACCGCTACCGCCTGGCTTTCAGAACAGACCCCAGTGCATCATTACAGGCTCCACGCGACCAGAGGCCTCCTGTAACACGAGCCCTCTAGCTAATACAAGGGAAACCCACTGCACGGGGACTGCACACACAAAAACACACTCCTTAGCAACTGCTAACACACAGGGGTGTCTAAAAAAACAAAAACGTTTGTTGTTTATTGAAGGAAATGCATACAGGATGCGTGTTGATATACATAATTTGCCCTTCTCAGCGTGAGTACCTAAGATGCTCATACTCACATGGCTCTCATGTTGCTCTCGGGCAGAAGAGGAATCTCAAGAACTTTGGTGTTGGACTGCAGGACCTCGTGGCTTGGTGTGGACACGGTCTTCCCGGTTATGCGGTGAACCTGGTAGAATGCGTGAGGTCGGAGGAGACGGTCATCTGCCGTGCCTATGAACAGCTGTAGGGTCAGAGGCTCGCTCTCCATGTAGCCGTGAAGCTGAAAGAAACAGATATGAATGCGTGGCGTTTGTGGTTACATGCGAATAGTTTATCCACAAAGAACTTGAAACTGCAGCATTACATCACCCAATCAGAAAACGATAAATGTTTAATGTACAATCGGATTTTATGGACCAATGAGATTTCAAAGTGGGTGGGGTTACCCCAGTATAATGGAGTAAATATTAAAAAGTCAGTTTAGCAAATAATTTTATAACTAATGCGCATCCTGATCTGAAGCAGAAGAAATAGGAGGAAAAAAGTTGTTTTGACACACACAAGCTTTATATAATTACAGTTGAACCACATAAGTCACATGAAATATTTTGACAATGTTGTTTGGTTCCTTATCATCTAAGGGGCATTGATGTCTATGCAGGATCAGAGATCTCAGATTTCATCTAAAATATCTTCATTTGTGTTCTGAAGATGAACAAAGGTCTCATGGGAGTTGGAATGACATGAGGGGGAATCGCTAATATCAGATAAATTTTTTTTGGGGGGGGGTGAACTAACCCTTCATGTTTCATAGAACTTGCATTTTTATTTTGTTCTATTGTTGGCATACTGCTGGTTGATTAAACGCTCAGTATGAATTTCATTTCCTTCTTTATTTTCTAAATAATATTTGTATTTAGCAGCAATGTTTTAAAGTGACAGCAAAGGATTGCAAATAATCACAGTCAACTTCATCAAATGAAATGAAAGTAGTTAATTCAAAATTTACTGAAAGCTATTTCTACTCATTTGAAAAGAGCTTTGAACTCGGTGTTGAACGAGTAGAGCCAGACAGAACCTGCAGACATTTTTTTGCTATTTCTGCAGAGAATTGTGTAAAAATTCTGTATATCTAAATTTTTGTAAAAATTACTTTAAAAGTATCGTAACTAAAAACTTATGAAATAAAAAATAATAGCTTTTTAACTTTTATTTAATGTTTTCAATACAAATTCATCATGATCCACTATTTGGGAAACAAAACAAGTCTATCATATAATATATCGACCAAAAGACAGAAAATATGATTTTACAAACTGTATTGTAAACAAATTGAATGAACATTTTCATATTAGTCAATATTATTACTGAAATCAATTAAAAAACTGAATTAATATACATTTACACATTTACATTCATTAACGAATCCTTTAATCATCAGCTTATTTACTCTTTAAACACATACCTTGGGTCTTCAGTTACCCTGTATTCAAAATGTTCTTGACGTTATCATTATAAGTAAACCCGTAATCAAATTATATATTTTAAAATGAGTCTTTAACTTTCTAGGTATAACACGGGAAGATTCACTATCAACCCAATGTACAGTATGTAATATTGAGCTAGTAAATAAGCTGTCAGTGACCAAAATATTGTGGATGCTGGAAAAAACAGTTTTGAGAATATTGTTTATATTGCAAATATAAGCTAGGTGTTGAATGTACAAGGAAAGTGAAGACTTTAAGTGAAGATTTCTTAATTCCCCTGTTCAAACTGAACTTTTCCAAATAAAAAAAAGGTAACAAAAAATGCAATTTTATGTAATTTTATTTAAAATATCAGTTGAAGCAATCAGTAACACATATTTGTTAGATATGTAGATCTGGGTCACCAAAGAACCGAATATGTAATTATGATTGGTGAAACATGAATGCATTTTAAAGTTGATTGAAGAAAGACAAAGTGACATTGAAAATTCAAGTAATTCACCTTTGCCATCACATGAATGATTTACATTTTGAAATGTAATAAAAGGTCATTTTAAATTTTATAGTTTAACTATAATTTTGATCAAATAAACTGGATGAGCAACAGTGATTTCTTTCAAAATCATCAAAACAGATCCGATTTAAAAATACTTTTAAAGTGTTGAATGATATTGTTCAATAAATATATACAGTTGAAGGCAAAATTATTAATCTTTTTATTAAAAAAATTTATAAAAAATAAGGCAACACTTTATTTTGATTGTCCACTTGAGTATTAGTAGACAGTCTGCTTAATATCTGCTGATACTGCTCTTTCAACAGACATTTAACTGACTATAAGATACTTTGCAAATACATGTCAACTTACACTATCCCTAACCCTAACCCCAACCTAATAGTCTACTTTTAATCTAATGAGAATTAGTTGGCATGTATATGCAATGTAACTTAAATTCAACAAACAAACCATAAAAATAAAGTGTGACAAAAATAATTATTTATGTAAAAATATAAGCTGAGTAATATTAGGTTAATTTGGAAATCATTGGATGACAGTGAAGAAAAAAATATATATTTATTTAGGGGGCTTATAATATTGTCTTTAAAAGATTATAATTTAATAACATAATATAAACTCAGCCTGAGTTTGCAGACAAATACAAGCACTTATGGCCAAACTACAGTACATAATACACAGCTGATGTATGGAGCTTCTCGCAGAGGGTGGTCAGCATCTGTGGTGAAAGTTCTGCACCACTATTGTATGTTTATTTAAGTAGATATGCTTGAGCCTGGCATTTGTGTTTATTCAGGCAGCAGGGAGTGCACCGGCCAGAAAGACAGAGGCCGGAGAGATCCAACTCCCCTTCACTACAGTACATTATCACCCACTAGAGGAATGCCAAGACTCTTTCCCCCCAATGGCACAGAGTTCAGAGGCGTTTGTCCACACCTCCTGGTACTGTGGGTCAGTTTTCACCCACTCAAACTCTTAACCTCCATGGCACATCTGTAATTAGGGAAACGGCCTGAGAATAAAAAAAAAGGGGGGAGATCTACAACGCGGGTTGCTTTGATAGTTACTGGCCAGATCCAGTGAGCAAATTCTTACTGGAAAAGGTTATGTCTGGTGTAATATTGAGCAAGACCAACTGTTTTTCTCTTTGGGCTCATTCACAGTAAGTATGTATGTTTTGCGCATTAAGGGATTCACCGTGATTCATAGATATGAGATAAAAAAATTAAAAAATTTCAAACTCACTTACAGTAATATTATGCAGAGTCATAATACACACATATACGTCTCTGGCTATATTTGCTACAAAATCAAAGGAAAACTATGGATAAATATAAGTAAATAACTATTATGTTTTAAAAAATATCTGTTACTTAAAGTACATTAACTACAATAGAAGAAAGTATATAAGCATATAGTCTTGAAGGATATTATATTATATTATATTATATTATATTATATTATATTATATTATATTATATTATATTATATTATATTATATTATATTATATTATATTATATTACAATTTATACAACAGTTCTGTCTGGTTCTCGACTCTGATTGGCTGATAGCCATGCATTATTCTGTAAATAAAAGCACTGGTACAGCCTCTCCATCCTTGTGTATTACTCCACCCCCATACAGCAACAAGCAGAGGACACTCTAAAGTTTTATAAATAATGCTGCTGTTGGACAACATAATGCACTTCTAAGGCTTTTTAGAAGACAATGTAGTTGTTTCGACTGCAACTATGCAGTTTTTTTATAAGGATAGCGCCTAATTTATATTTTTATAAATTCTGAGAGACAACGAATCGGCAGCTAATAGCCTGCCATTGAGCTGAGCAAAGACGGTTGACGTTGTCCATCCACAAGATAGTGACAGAGACTGCATAATAGATGAAAAACAGCATAATTTCAGCACATCAAATGATTATTAAAACATTATTATACAGGTAAATGACTTTTCGAGTGTTTGTATGTTGCAGTGCTGTATTTATACCATACAACTGTAGTGTATTGAGTGTGATATGAAACTCAGATATCAGGAATGTCTGCATTTTGTGTTAGGCACTCTTTGTATAACTCTGAGTTTTTGGTTGGCTAACTGCTTAATACTAATGCGTCTATTGTTTTTGTTAGTTCAGTAAACAGAAAGAAAGAAGAAATGCTTGCATGTGTTTAGTGTTTTCCTTATTGCAAACAACACTAATCTGGTAGTGTTGGTGCTGCTTTGGCTTTTCTAAGGGATAATTATTAGGGATGTCCCTGCAGCCTCGTGTCAACGCACATCTCCCATCAGTGCCAATATTCAGCCACATTACATGGCTGCTCGTGTTTTATTGCTCATTTATATTATATACAATTATATACAGTTATATTATATTATATTATATTATATTATATTATATTATATTATATTATATTATATTATATTATATTATATTATATTATATTATATTATATTATATTATTGTCATGATCACCAGCGATCTAAGCACCAGAGATCGCTGAAAACATTCACACACACCTAGGACTACAAATCTGCTTGTAAATGGACAACATATTCAGTCATGCAACACACAAACACACAATCAACTGATTCCTGATCCTGACTGATTGCATACACACAGCTGATGCTGCTAAAGTACTGATTACACACACATATATACAGCTCACTTTGAGACACTCATTGCTGGGTCTTGCTTTTTGTTATAGTGACATTACAATTATTATATATTTTAAAATATTTTCATGTATAAGATATTTATTTAACAACATATAATACAAATATTACAATATAATTTTATGATAATATATAATATATTATCATAAAAGTAAATAATAGTATATCTTATAATCATGTTGAAAAAATGTATACATTTTCAAAGCTCTGTGTGTTGTGTGTGTGTTTGTATATATATATATATATATATATATACATATATATATATATATATATATAATTTATCAAAAAAAAATGAAATCACATTACTTAACCAAGTGTGGTTAGGGTGGGGTTACAAAGTTTATCATTAACAGTACTATTGAGGGGGTAACCTTAAAATTTTATATTTAAGAACACAAATAATTGTGAATAAAATAATCTATAGCTTCTCAATAAATAAAAAAAACAGTCATAAAGATTGTCACACATACGGCCTACGAGATGAAACCAATCTCAATATTATAAATACGGAACCACTGATCTAACAAACCAACCTATATTTAGGGATTTCGTCACTTCTTCCAGTTACGGCGGTGATTTTTGTTGACAGAGCTGTTCTTTGAGAAGTTAACTTGCCGAGAGACTGAAGCACAGACGTGGAAGCACATAGCTGTGGTGCGGCAGGCTTACTTCAGAGGCTACACACTCACGTCTACCATCAATCCGATGGCGCATGTGGTCAAACTGCATCCAGGATAGAAAAAAAAAAAAAAAACCTGGCAGAAACCATCAGGAACCCGAGCAGGGGGAGAGAGATGGGGCTCTGGGTACAAAAATCCTGACCACCAGAAACCACCAAACCCCAAGTGGAGAGACAGAAGGAGGGGAGAGGGGGAAGACTAATTCTTAGGGGATAGTGACTCACGCAGTTATAGGAACAGAAGCAGTAGGGGCTTCAAATACTGAGAAATGAGGATAATTTATCAAGATCTGGGCACAAATTAGGGATTTGGGGAGTCTTACACAAGTATTAAGACTTGAGCCCCTCCAAAGTCAGTCAAAACATGAAGAATATTAAAAGCAAAGTGGGACCACATATATATATAGTTTCCTTAACTAATATGTACTTACACTAAAATTAATATTACACTACAATGTACTGTGCTTAATAATATATTTTTTAATAATGTAAATACATGTTCTACATTTATTGTACTTACAGTACAGTATGATAAAATACATGCAATTAATTTCTGAAATTACATTTAGAATTATACTCTTTACCATCCCTTACACATTGACCCACCCTAATACCTACCCATAGCAATTTCAAGTTTATTTGTGTAGCGCTTTTCACAATAATCATTGTTTCAAAGCAGCTATAAAAAAGGTGCACATTATTGTATTACAATCAATCTCAGAAAGGTTAAGTTATTAGTTACCATGGCTTTATTAGTTGCTTATAACTTTAAATAATTACTCTAACTAGTAACAGATAGCTTTGAACAGTTAAAAAGTTAACATTACAGTTAAAGAGCCCCTATTGTGGGTTTTTGAAATTGACCTTCCATGCAGTGTTACACAGCTCTAAGGAAGTGAAATATATACAGCTATAGCTTAAATCTGAAAGTGTACCATGTTTAAAACTATTGATTCATCTATAAAAGAGTCGACTTAGAGTGGTTCAAAAGAATCGTTAGGGTAACGAATTCTTTAGCTTCTTTGTATCTTTTAGACATCGATACAAGCTCAAGCCCTGCCCATTTGTTGCATACGCAAACCTGGGAAAATGTAAATCCCCGCTCACAAACACTGTAGCAAAAAAGAAGAAAACAAACACTGTCGGAGATCCCAATTAAATCATGTGGCAAAGACGCTGTGCTCTGAAGTGAGAGAAAGTTAGTGTTAATTTCTCTACCCAAAGACGAAGCTGTGAAGAGTCAGTGGTTAAAGTTAATTTTAGCAAAAATAACCCAAGGCATTATAACCCCAGCCTTGGGCTGTGTTCTTGTCATTTTTCTGACGAGTGCTTCAGCAATCTACACGCTTACAACGGGGGATTCGTTGGCTGTTGGTTAAAGGAAGGACACATGCCACTTTGTTTACGGATTTAAATGCGTTTGTGAGCTCGCAATCCTCTGCTGTTTGTCGTTGCTATGGCCACCATCAGCTGTTTCTACACACGTGTGGCGGTCAAGTTTCAAAATAGTTAGGCTATTTCCACCGTGTGGATTAATTCTGAATGTGTGTCATTGTTAAGAATAGAGCAATATGCTGGTGTATAACTGCCCTGCTTTAATGCACTCCTGCATTGGGCTCAGACATACACTCTGCACTCTGAATACTTCAAAATTGTTGATAAGCCGTGGTAGGCAATTTTGTCGGTCCTGCGCTGAACGCAGTCGACCAATCACAACAGACTGGGTCATCTGACACCAGTTTGTCAGACCAGTATCGCTAAGGAGAGGATTGGGAACAAATGAATATATGAATAAATGAATAAATGGATATTTAGGTAAAAACAAATGTATATTATAAGACACTGAAAGTCTTATAAAATGAAAAAAAGTACTTTAACAACTTTCCAAAATGGTCCTAAAAGGACCTCAGAAGAGGACACCAGTGGTGACAGAGCATGAAGGGAGGTGCCATTCACTAAAAGAAGAACATGTGCAGCTCTATAATCTGATGGTTTACAGAATGGGACAAGCTTGTTTGAGGCTCTTGAACACTCCCCTTCACTTGCCTGCCAGAACTGTGTGCAGCGGAGACTGGACGCCTCCACACGATGCTGTTGCACATGATGTCAGTGCAGTATGAGGACCTTCAACTAAACAAAAGGCAGTCTGTGCACTAGGCCGGAAACAGCAATGAATCTGAGTTTAAAAAAAAGAGGCAAGAGTGAGAGGACCTTGTTTTTTTTTCAGACGGGAGTCGCACTGAGCCACGTGTTCGCAATCATTAGCACCTCGTTATTTTGAATTGAAGTACCCAGCAGCCACAGATGTATTATGAAACGTTGAGTTCACCTTTAACAGCCATTTTAGTAAATAAAGCAGTCACGGAGTCTGTGGTTCGCATACCCTAAGAGTCAGGTCCAACCACACTGATTTCTTTCAGACGCAACCACGAATCCTGTCTTCAGGAATTCTGTTATCCATTAGGAAGTGTCTGCAACCAACTTGTGGAGTGAATATCCATGATTCAGCTACCAAAGCAAATGAGGTGTGTTAATCACTGATGTCTGTCGAACTGACATCAAGACACTAAGGCCTGGTGAAATATACTGTATGTAGCACTTTACTCGCACTTCCTGAACTTGGAATTGGGAGAATAACAAAAAAATCAAAGGGTTTAAATCACAGTATGTTACTATGACTTGAGAGAAAACAAATATAAGGACGTTCCCTTGTGTCAACACAAACAATGATAAAGTGAAAATATTTCACATGGAGAAGATGCTGCATGATGTCGAATATAAATATTAAAGGGTACTGAATGAAACGTGTTATTAATTATTCACCCTCATGTCGTTTCAAATCCCTGAGACTTTCATTCATCTTCAGAAGACAAATTAAGATATTTTAGATGAAATCTGAGAGCTCTTTCATCCTCTATAGACAGCAACAGTCTTGACTAGTTCAAAGTCTAGAAAAATACCAAAAATACATTCTCAAAACAGACCAAATGCCTTCAGTGGTTCAAATAACAGGATACTGTTGAATAAAGTATTTATTTTCGTTCTGTGTATGCACAGAAGTTATCTTGTAGCTTTATAATTTTACGATTGAATCACTGAAGTCATATGGATGTGGAGTTTTGTAATAATTTTTTGAACTTTTAACAAAAGTTGAAATGAACACTATCCCTTGAAGTGAAAAAATAAAGCCATTCTTTGACAATATACAGAAGTACTAGCTACTCGGCTGGTCCTTAAACATTTTTAAATTTCCCATTTAAAGTGAAAGTGAAGCACTTAGTCAAGTTTACATTATTTTGTAAATTGGTTTCCACTTAAATAAAAATATATTAAACAAACTTGATTAATGTAACCATTTTGCAGAAACATCCGCATATCGTGGTTATTCTGTTTTTACTGAATCTTCTGCTTTTGTTACTAAAACCAAAACACAGAGAGGCACTTGCATCTATCTGCTGCAAAAAATACAAATATTTAAAAAAAAAATGTTAAAAGCATTAAGAACATCACGTGATGTCTGCAGAAGTTGTTTTTTTTTAATGGTTCAGTCCCGCTTGCCGCCAAGTTTATACACAGACTTACACACACCCACACATCAATGAATGCTATGGAAACTAAAATTTGTTGTACAGTTGGCAGTTCACTCCTGTTATTTGGTACGATTGCATTCATATCAGAAGTAAACCATACCAGAGTTCGCACAAACCATATCCCAGACCATCTCTTCTAGGCAGACTCCGGTATTGTTTGTGGGTGAGCACCGAGTTCAGAAGACACGTTCACACTATCTAAACGTACCATACTTGTCAAAGGACCTGGGTGCGGACCAAAAGTGCTAGTGTGAAAGCACCCTTCGATGTGAATTAGTACAGCGTGAAGTTATGTGGTTTAATCGTTGCATTAGTCTGATGTTTATATAAAGAAGAACAATAGAAAACATATAAATATTTTGGGATATATTAAACACACATCTGATGCTTGTATTTGCACCAGCTTTAAATTCACAACTTCACGCATTGGGTTAAATTAGGCTTTGCAGTCTCTGTGTTTAGTCTTTTACTTTCCCTGTATCTGTTCAGCTGAGAAAACAGAATCAGCCCATGACGTCAGATACAGTGATATTCTAAGGTGGTGGCACCTTAACTCTAAAAGCTATAGTAAAACCTGTCGTTTTCTGCAAAATATTTACATTAATCGAGTTTGTTTTATATATTTTCATTAAAGTGGAAACCAATTTACAAAATAATGCAAACTTGACTGACTGCTTTACTTCCACTTTAATTGGTTCTTATTATTACCAATCAGCACCAGTGTCAAGCACAGTATTTAGTGTCAAAAAGTTGAGAATAGAGGATGCCATGATCAGAACTGTGTTTATGTTTTTTTATTGTTGTAGGTTTTATGATAACAGAGATGCAATGTAGGTGATTATGCAGTTGAAAGTGTACTATGGAGAGATAAAATACTATGACTCCTAACACATCTTGCAGTGCCACATCAACAAGGCTGCGGAAAGAACACAATCCTATGATATAATTCTGTACATTACATCATTGATAGATCCTAAATAAAGAATTTCACTAAGTGCAAAAGCCTGTTTGTGAGAGATTGTGAACTGATACCTGGACCACTGGATGACCTCCCGCTAGTGCTTTCACAGCTCCTCTGCTGCCTTCAGTCTCATAATGAGCACGGTGATGAGACTTGGGTTGGACATCAATCTGTAGGCTGTACGGCCCTGAGCTCGAAGGCAACTGCCAATCAAGAGCAGGCAGTGATGGACTACAAGAACATGAGAAAGAGCATTTGTTAATGTAGATAAAGAAACTATTCAACTGTGATTGTGAAAAAAAACTCTTAATGTTTATCCTACCTGATGTAAGGCTTAGGCTTAGACCAATATGGGTGTTGGGGCACGTCCAAAAAGCCACTGCAGTAGGTCTCCTTCTTGAAGGGTAGGCGTACTGAGGAGAAGTCATCCTGGCAAAGCTCCAGGGACCCTGTCTCGTCTCCACCTGGTTCTACTTTCAGGTTCATTGAAGCACTGTGTTCCAGACTGGTCTTGCGGGACTTCAAAGGAATCCCCTCTGCAAGATCTGTTAATCCATCTGTGGTGAGGGCATTGATGGCGGCAACAATGGCAGAGTTGGTGTATTGATTGGTATTGGGCAACCAACTGTCCTCCGTCACACTGAGGCGAGGTGAAGTTTGTGGCGACGGCCCAGGAGATTGATTTGGCGAGTACGGATGGTACTTGTGCGATGGCCCACCATTGAAGCTGTACTTCCGTTTACCGCCACAAGGAGAATTTGGACGGGAACCCCGATTGCCTATCCAGTTGTCATCAGTGATACTGGTTCGAGGAGAACCGGATGGAGAATGGCGTGGAGAAGCACCAAGAGTGCAGGACTGCAGAGAGGAGGAACCTTTTGGGGAGACGCAAGGGGACTGCCAAGGCGAGTTCTGCGGAGAGTTGTCGTAGTTGTAGGAGAAGCCAGATTCGTATGAAGAAGCATCTGAATGGCAGCTACGAGAGGACACGCTGCTTGCCGGACTGAGGCAGGTAGGGTCACGATAACCATCAACACTCGGCAACGTTAATGTCACTATGGAGTTGACTCGCTTAGTCACTGGAACGCTGTTATCCTCCACCTCATCTTCGGGGAACTGGCCGTAAGCTGTTATCTCAATGCGCGGACTCTCCAATGTGGGAGCTCCATTGGATCGGGGACCGGATGTTTGGAAGTAGCCTACCGAGCTCATGTCATCTTGAGGGAACGAGGAAGGTTGGCTGATGGATATCGACAAGGAAGGGCTGGTCTGGAGATTGTGGTACTGCGAGGGTGGGCAGGGGTTGCCCAGAGGAATTGAGATGCTGGTGTTTTGATTGTAACAGTACGCATCTGTAAGGTACAATCACATTTTTGTGAGACGCTGCAACTAAAAATAAGCTACAGAGATCAAAGAGCATAGGTGCAAATAGGGTGCTGCTTAGTGAGTATAGTAAATGTAGCTTTTATATTATACATATTATGGCTGCAAGATATATGAAAAAATCAGATATTGATTTCGTTTTTCTGCAATATACAGTTGAAGTCAGAATTATTAGCTCCCCTAAATTATTAGACCCCTTATTTATTTTTTCCCCAATTTCTGTTTAATGGAGAGAAGATTTTCATCAACACATTTCTAAACATAAGTTTTAATAACTCATTTCTAATAACTGATTTATTTTATCTTTAGCACGATGACAGTTGATAATGTTTTACTAGATATTTTTTAAGACACTTCTATAGAGCTCAAAAGTTATTTCTAGCCGAAATAAAACAAGATTTTCTCCAGAAGAAAACGAAATGTATCATAAACGATATGATGTATCACATTATAAACTAAATGTAAAAAAAAAAAAGAAAAACATCAAAGCGGAGTTAATAATTCTGACTTCAACTGTATATTGCAATATGATGAATGATTTCACCAGAAGAATTTAATAGCTGTATTTTGAAAGATTATTAATTAATTTAGATAGAATGGGATGATCAAATCTTTTTCTATGCATTTGCAAAAATTATAATAAATTACAATTATAATACATATTATAATATAATATATTTTATTATATCATTATAATATATATTTATATCAGGGCTGGGCTAAGAAACAATATTATATTGAATCGCGATAAAAAAATTGTCAATAACAATGATAAGCGCTGGGCATTTTTACTCTATATAGATATGTGTGTCGATATAAGAGATGTACTGAATTTTCAGCCACTAAAATTTTTCAACTGAAAATATGTCCTGCCATTTAATGGACCCTCTAATTTGTGGCTTTAGTCATTGTTAGGGTACTTTTTATATCTGGAAGCATTAACAACTTGTTTCAAAATATATATTGTTATCGTATATATTTATTTATATATATATATATATATATATATATATATATATATATATATATATATATATACATACAGTTGAATTTTTGTATAGTTATTGTATCACCATGGGTTGTTCTGTAGACTATAGGAAAAAATTGCTCTAAGGGGCTAATAATTTTGACCTTAAAATGGTGTTTAAAAAAAATAAACACTTTTATTCTAGCTGAAATAAAACAGATAAGACATTCTCCAGAAGAAAAAAAATATTAACAGACCTACTGTGAAAATTTCCTTTTTCAGTTAAACATCATTTGGAAAATATATATATATAAAAAAAAATTCAAAGGGTGGCTAATAATCCTGACCTCAACAGTATATTGTGCAGCCCTAATACACACACACATATATATTTATTTGTTTATGTATTTATTTATCTGCCTTTGATTTACAAAAACATGGCATTAAAAAAAGACACCACACTTTATAAGCAATAACTGTGAGTCAAAAACGTTGGTGGTTAAAAGCCACAACCTCTGCAGAGGAAGCAAGGTGACTGATACACAAATACCAGGCCAAAAATAACAAAGCGTTAAAAATATCTTACTGAGGACAAAACCAGACGGAAAACCAATACTCATAAACAATCTTTGTTGAAAACAGGGGCAAACATTTTGCCTCAACGTATGGATTAACATTAGACAATAACACAACATTTGACATGCAACATGGCTGACACAAAACATCTTGACTAAGACATGAAAAAAACATATATCAATTAGAGCTTTCTGGAGAGTATAAGATGAATCACTGACCACTTTAGCAATTTTAGAACACTTGTAGCTTATCCAAAAACTCCTAACAGATTGTGACTACGTCATCGGGCTTACTTGAGTTTTTGAGTTTGTACGTCTTCTGTTCCATTTAGACATTTTATTGATAACAGAAATCTATTATTGTAATGAGTAATCACTGCAAAACGAAAGAAAACAATGCAGTTGAGTTGAGTGACTCACTGTAGTCAGTCAGTCCAACCTGCTGGAAATATATCTAATGTAAGTTAGCACAAACTGGCGCACAGTCACTACTGGCTCCGCTTACAATAAAATTTGCAACGATTTCTCGCTACTTTAGAGGACGATTAAAAACATGGATACTTGAAAATGTGACCACAGCGCAACAAAGCACCCTGGATACTGATAGCATGCTAATGTATCCCTAATGTATGTATCGCTTTGGAATCAAGTTAACAACTACATATTAGATTTTTGTAAGCAAGCCATAGGTACACAGTCAGTATATGATTCTGAAAGCTTTAAAGAATAAATGAATAAGTGTTAAATGAAAAGTATATTAGTAACTTTATTAAAATAAATCACCTCAGAGCCTAAGCAAGTTGCTGGACTCTAAGTTTAGTAATTCTAATTCATTGGCTGGATTTAAAGCAGGTTTGTGCACTTTTTTTTTAGAAAGTCAGGTCAGAAGACCAGCTTGTAGACCCTTTAAAAGCAGCTAGGTCTGAACCATCGGAAAGCTGATTGAAGTTATTTTTCTCCACAGAAAATATGAGAACTGCTTTTGTTATAGTAGAGCTGTCATTATGAACTATAATCTAAGTTATCTTGTGAAAAGCACAGTTGCTGCAAAGAGAAGGATGCAAAAAGCCACAATCTAAATAATGTCTCTGCTTATTCATCTCCGTCACGCCTACCACTCCCTTCTGTAGCCTCTCAAACAAGAAAAAACTAATTCAGTCATTTAATTAAATCAGAAATAACTGCAATTCTAAGACTTTTTTTTCAAAAGGGAATTAATATTAACAATAACTTTACACTATAATGCAGTGGCACAAGGTAAGCTTCAAGACCACTGCTAGCCAATCAGAATTGAGCAACTGGGGTGCAATAATTATCATAAAGGGGGAGGATTGTAACAACTTTTGAAATTCCTGAAATTAGTTTTGTCACTCTATGCTTCACATATGTGTCAGCATATGTATTTGTATATATTCTGCAAACTCTATGACAAATCTTCTTTTGCTTCAGAACAGTTAAAACAATATTTTCAATCACAACAAGCATTATTTGCAGTTTCTACACAAAAAAGCAAAATGTTTAGAATTGCATGTCTATACTATATGCATTTTAAGCATATTATTGTACTATATATATATATATATATATATATATATATATATATATATATATATATATATATATATATATATATATATATATATATATATATATATATATATATAATTCAGTATAGTCAATCATTCAATTTTTAATTTTTTGCTGAGTCCCTTTATTAATCTGGGGTCGCCACAGCGGAATGAACCACCAACTTATCCAGCACGTTTTTTATGCAGCGGATACCCTTCCAACCTATCACTGGGAAACTAATTTAGTATATATATATATATATATATATATATATATATATAATATTTTTTTTATAACATTTAATAAAGTGTTACCAACTCCACCTACTGTCACATCACATTAGTGTTGGTTACACAGCATCATTATTTATACTTCATATTAAGTTGCTTGATTTTAATTTAATGCTGTATTACTTTAATAAGTAGAAGACAAATATAGGAACAAAGTTTGAGTGCTATAACGACACTGAGTTACAAAAGTTGAAACTAAATGTTACCAAACTCCCCGTCCCCAGAAACCAACGTGCAGAATAGCAGATTTATTTTAACGTCAACACTGGTAACTTACAAGAAAACGTGCAACCATTAATTTGACAGTACAGTAATTAAGTTGACATGATGATAATAATACAATCAGACAATGAGAGTGAAAAATGAGACAGTAGATGCATTTAATCAGAATACGTTACCTTCCTCTGCGGATTTCATGCTTGCGAAGTGTAGACAGAACTCACAGCAAGTTCAACGCACTTTTCCAAAACGCACGACACAGTCCGCTCAGCGTTTAATCTCCCAATATGATGATGAGTCCTGATATCTGTGCTAAAAGTGCTCACTTCTACCGTAATAAGCGTGTATTCCAGTCAAGAGAGAAGTGTGTAAATGACTTAAAAGCTCAATTACTTAAAAAAACGCAAGAAATGACAACGTAAAAAAATATGAACCTTATATTAATACAGTTTGTCTAACTCGTTATATTTTCTATTCTGGACTTGCATGTTAGTTTCCAGGGGTTCTGGTGACGCACTGCTTTGCGATGGAAAGGTCTGTGTATCTATATAAAGCCGGGAAACACCTCCGTTGGGCCCCGCCCCTCTTTGCAGTGACGCAGGCACCACGTCTCAAGCGCAACAGCAGATGAAGAGAGGGATTCTCTCCTCTCAACATTTCCAGATGTGGAGCCGTTCAAACCAAAGGCAAATGAACCGACTTGTGCGCATGCGCGTATGGGAGGAAAGCCCAACTCCTTAGGGCGAATCGGTTCTTTCGAACAAATCGTTTTAAAAACAGGTTCAGAAAATGATTCAGAGGTTGTCACTTTTCTGTCATCTCTTCACAGAGTTTGTTTCGTCCCAGTAGTGCCAACTGCAGGTAAATAGAGCTGTTCTGTATTTTTTATTTTGTTGCTTTTTTTTTAGTAAGTACTAGTTTTTTAAACTACGTTTTTAAAGTGTATTAGCCAATACCGTATACGTTACTATAAACAACTCTTTGTTATGAGTGGCCTATTACTGTTGTAAACTGAAATAAATACTTTAGATTTCACTACAGTAAATTGTGGTGTACCGTAGTATTATATACTCTATAGATGGAGAAAAATACAGTAAAGTTACTGAGTAAATTGTTTACTTTACCACAGTTGTATTACCACAGTATAGGATCAAAATATGCCTAGCTCATAAAACTACAGTTTGTCATTCAGAATAAAAAAATAATAAAAATCATAATATTCGCTTTTAACATAAATATTACTCAAATTACTTAACTGATAAACAAAATGCATGTTTAGGGCTAATAACATGTTATCGTACATTCTGAATCTGCCCTACATTTAAGTTTATTAACTTTTACTTTTCTCCTCAACAGTTTTGTTCTGATCATATCTGGCTCCTAAGATGGCTAATGAGTGAGTACAAATCAAATATAACCTGGATCATGGTAAGCCAGTGTTTTCATACCTTGTCAGATTGTCCTACCTCCTATTCAAAAAGCAAGTAGCACATTTTGATGACGCAATATACTACCCGGTGGATTTTGCTACCAGTGTAAATTTTAATCTGGAGTAGTGTGATATGAACCTGTAATATCACCCTAACCTACCTAATCCCGACCCTAACTCCAACCTCAGAACCATTCAAATACATTGTTGGTAGCATAATCTAATGGGTAGGATAGAATGTCAGGACCAGACAAATAAACTCCTCTGTGACCAATTCAATATACTCCTGAAAAATGCCAGTATAATGCAGTCCAATTCATTAATCATAAATACTATTCCACGACGGTAACTACCACAGACATTGTGGAGGACCAGGCCCCCCAGTTGTCCCCTCATGAAAATTATCCATGGTTTCATTATAGTAAAAGTGTAGTAATGTTTTTTTTTTTTTTTTGTCATATTGATTGCAACTAATTTAACCAGAGTGTTATTACAAATAACATTTATTTTCTTTTTATTTTTATGATTTTTTTGTATTGTTTAGTCAAACTGTGCCACCAACCCCCATGACAATGCCTTAATATTGACAGTTTTGAGACAAATCACAACACATTTAGGTTAAATGTTTAGAATGGTTTGTGTCAGGGGTGTAACTGCGTTAATAAATGTCAAAATAACTATCTGGCCACTCAATTCAATCATCAAATTTGTAAAATTTGATGTCAACCGCTGTACTTGGGTGATTGAGTCCCCATAATTGCAATTGAATAAACTGCAAATCTCATATAATCTCATAAAATGTATTTTTTGTTATAATTGGCCAATTAGTGGCTAACTCATTTACATTTTTTTTTTTTTTTTGTCATTTGGACTAAAATATTAAACTGTTCAATATTAGACTTATAACCGTTGATAACCGTTTTCAAGGTATACCGGTTTGGAAAAGTCAAGGTTTTAAAACAGCAGAAATGTTCTGCTATATCGCTTTTAAGGTATGTGTAAGATTGTTTTATATATTTTTTTTTTAAATAAATCCAAAAATTTTGTTTTAAATTGTAAAGAAATCTGATTTTGAACCTAATAAAGACAGCAGAAGTCAATGATTCATTTGAATTATTAAGCCTGACATGTTTACAGCTAAAATAATTGTAAATTTTCTCAAAAAAAAAAAAAAACTATATTGTGTTCAAAGAGGGTAAAGTTTTAGTTATTTTACCCAGACATTTAAAGACAACATATTTTAGAGCAGAAATCACAATACCATCAAACCCTGATGTTTTTATTCAAGGTTATCATACCGTCAGAATCTAATAATGGCCCATGCCTATACAATTTTAAGGCCCATCTCTAACTCAGGCCCTATAAAAGTGACTCTGGAGTGTAAACAGATTAAACAAATGTATGAAAGGGTTCATATGGTTCAAATTCATATGGATTAGCCACTATTGTAATATTGTTGCAAACTGCTATGAGACCAACTACAACCATGTGATTTATTTTGGAAGCTGTTAGTGTTGTCCAAGTCTGCCCCACACGGCCTAAACAGTGAGGCCAAAACATTTTGATCACACCCTGGTGGCTGATTGCAGTAAATGCCATAACCCATATTCCCCTCACATACTAATATGTTTGCTCAGAGTAGACGGTTGCATGATGTCTTTTCAAGATCGCATTAGTTATGACCAAATCATATGTGTCCATTTTGAAAAAAACAAAGGCAGTTAAAGTCATAATTATGTTAATTTTCTATTGTCCTATTAACAGACACAAATAGCATCTCTGTGAGACGTATCGCGTAGCAACTGCAGTGCTTTGATAGTGATTGAATAAACAGACGAACAGCTCTGCTTGTTTCTGTTAGGACATTACAGTGTAAGGATCTGAAAAGTCACAAGATGCTGTTGGAGCTTGGGCAACTATGATTTGGGTTTTGACAGCTTTCCAGTGGGGTGCGATTCGCTGCGTCATCGAGATTCATGCAGGACTGTTGTTCAAGCCAAGAAATGTTGGCAAATGTTTGCATCGGTGTAAATGGTTCTGCACTACAACATGACTTGTACTTACTATTATACTAAATCATGCATCTTAATTTGCACCTCACTGTAAATAGTAACGTGTACTATTATAATAGCAGCTTGTATTATTGTATATATCCATTTTTAGTGTTCCAGCATGAAGCATCTTGATATATTTTGACACAATTAACCTTATGCACTCAAATTATGTTTGTTTTTGTTAAAACTTTAAATAATATCCATAAAGTAGCATTTTATGTATTTTGTGATTCATGTTTAAAATTGTCCTGTTTATTTATGTTTTTGAATTGCATTATGTGACCTTAATAGTTATTCCAACAACATTTAACCTTGAAAAGTTTGAAAATGTGACTTTTTTATTAACATTTTTAATAGTTTAAAGTGATTTATTGTCTGGGTTGGTGTTGTAAATTAGGGTACAGAAACCATGTAATAAACTGCCCGAACAATTATTCATTCATTTTCTTTATTACTCATTTCCTTTATTAATCTGGGGTCACCACAGCGGAATAAACCACCAACTTATCCTGCACATTTTTATGCCCTTACAGCTGCAACCCATCTCTGGGAAACATCCACACACTCATTCACACTAATACACTACGGACAATTTAGCCTACCTAATTCACCTGTACCGCATGTCTTTGGACTATGGGGGAAACCGGAGCACCCTGTGAAAACCCACGCAAACGCAGGGAGAACATGCAAACTCCACACAGATACGCCAACTGACCCAGCCGAGGCTCGAACCAGCGACCTTTTTGCTGTGAGGCGACAGCACTACCTACTGCGCCACTGCATCGCCGGCTTACTGTATTTCTCTATTTATTATTTATCACACATTACTTTATTTCAAACTACTATATTAATAAATATTAATAAATATAATTAATATAATATTAATAAAATTCAGTTTGTTAAACTGTAGAGTTGAATTTTCAACATCAGTTTTTTTGGGGGACATCTAGGGCTGGGTGATTTTTCAAAAGGTAATCGAAATCGACAATTAGAACCATAAAATCAAAAAGTTCAATTACTTTCCCTACTGCGTGTGAAGTCACATGACCCTGCAAGGATAGAATACACAAGATGTGTCACTCATAGTTTGAATGTGGAAAAGTGTAATGGTCAATATTGTGAATGAAGCCCCACTTACTAGTACAGGAGACAGTCAGCGATCGATATAGACTGACGTTTCTCTGGTGGAAAAGTTCAGACCAGACGTGTGCTTTTACGACAGTTTGGTGGTCAACAAACACACTGGAATCTCAGCGAATTCTTGCTTCACAGACATAAGAAATATATCAAAATAAAGATTGAAATCTGTACTTTTAAATGAACCAAGTGCATTTGGAGACAAAAGATTTTTGGTTTTGTAATCTGAATGAAACGAATGTGAGGTACAGTCCATCCTGTCAAATGCACATCACATGACAGCAGCTACTAAAACGCCTACAACAAACCTTTAAACAAAGAGCAGCGCAATCAGATGATCATTATCCAGAAGATGATAATGTCAAAGAGCATAGAATCACCAAGAGGAGACACTCTAGTGCGATTTGGGAAACAGCCACTATATGCTGCTAGTGTCACGCGCCGGCCATTTTGGTATAAAAATTCCAATAGAACAACAGCATAGGTCTGTAAAATAAACTATTAAAAGTGCTGATGACTGCAATAGTAAGTGTTGTATTTTCGTCTTTCATGTTGTATCTCGGCTTTAATGCGCTTTTTAAATAAATAAATAAAAAATAAAGCAGCTGCTTGCCATCGCAACAGCAATAAGATCCAATGGACGGCCAATCACTTTCACTCCAAAATGGTGCAATCGCAGGGCTGTTGCTGGGTGCTGCTGTTGCAATGGAACGTTCTATTGAGTGTCGCCTATTGAGTGGTAATTCTAAGCTCTTTGATAATGTGTAACATGGCCATGAATGAGGAAGGTGTCGTGATTTCTTTTCTTTCGAGTGCGCATGTGCATTACCTGGAAATATGCTGATGTTTTTGTATACAGATGTTTAGAAACGAAACTGAGAAACCGACATTGACTTGACACCA